ACTGGTCTGTGAATCAGGGGTACTACCCCTACTCCCAGGGGTTTTTTTTCGGAGTTTTGATCTTTTTATCCAAATACTATAGGGCGGCGCATAAAAAAAAAGCACCAAGATTTTTTCCCGCTAACTTCCCAACGTCCAGATGAGGCAGAGGCAATACAATTCATACCACGTATCTTTCCTCCCGACTGGTGAGTCAAGTGATCCAAGATGGATCGCTCGATGGCCGAACGGAGAGAAGCAGCATTCAGCAGGGAATGAGATCGCCGCGGAGGAGATCCGCAAAGTCCATCACTTAATGGAAAGTGAGATTACGTGCCGTATGCAACGCCAAAGGACGATCCATCGCGCAACTTCTCGGATAAGATGAAGCGTGATATGAAAAACCCATAGGGACCTTAGTCGAACAGCTGCCGTGGGTGTACTATGGTAGCCAAAAATTCATAGTTTTCATGGGGCCGAGAGGAAATATAGATTCATACTTAGTATGATTTGTAGGCCTCTGCCACATATTGAAATTGAGAAATGAACGCAAAAATCTTGGCACGTGTTTTAAGCGCCACCTGGTAGCAAGGCCCATTGAAGTTTCCTCCCTCCACTCCAAACGGTATTTTGCATAGCTGACAAGAGGAGTTCGCCTGATTCCCCACTTTACCTGATCCTCGAGAGTAAACAAGAAAAAAAGTCTGTCCTTCCACTCTTCAGGATTTACTTGGAATTTCCTCTTCCATATATACATAGGGTGTATTGCACAAAGCTGACTTTAGGGTAATGGAGTTTTGAACCTCCTTTAGCGGTGCTAAAGGAGGTTTAAAGCTCCATTACGCTAAAGTCAGTTTTATGCAATCCACCCATAATCTGTAGAAGTGGGAGTCAGCCAACTGCATTGGAATCTGGCATTCGACATCTGTCAACATGGTGTGCAAATAATTCTCCAAAATTAACATTGCTACCAACGCATACATTAATACTTGATACCACTTCCCCACTGTATGGCAATTCAAATTTTTCCTCGACGCTGACCGACTCCTCGGTTGGTCCCTCATTGGCAGGACATTGAAGGCTGATGCCAGCTTGCGCCACTCTGGTATTTTAAATATTACTTTTTACTCTTCCTGTGCGATCCAAAAAGGATCGAGGTGTGGTTTATGAGCCACGGATTGCATGACACCAACAGCGCAAAATTAGTCAATTTCACGTAGCATAGGCCTAAGTGTTCGAGTCGCGTGGAAGCAGGTATTTCAAGTATTCTCCCTCAATCGAATTCTGCAGATCAATGCGCCTGTGAAGGAATCCCCTGATACAGGCTGCACAAAAACCGCGGCCGGCTTCATCATCATCCATAATTCATGAGGGTAATTTGCATGAGAGAACCTGACAGATCCTTGTCAAATCCTTGTGATTTGAAGCCATATCCCCCCGAATGAAAATCAGAAGCCCCGATTCACTGAAAGGACCCATCGATTTTCCTTCCCTTCTTTCTTTCCCTTGATCCAAATGTGATTGTTCTCTTTCTTCCACTTTTCTCACTTCTCACTCTACCGTTCTAATGACTTTTGTCAATTGAGGAAGAGGGTTCATGATGTGAGCTTTCTCGTCCATTTCATAAGGAAAGGAGAGGATCTGAAAGGAATCGCTTTGTCCAGCAATAATTGGATTACAGGAAACAAAGAGACGAGATCGTAGCAGACGCGTCGTTTGTATCAGTAGTTAATTTGTTCCCACAATGGGGCTAATTTGGCACGACTGTCAGGATCCCATTCATGCAATCAAGCCTCTTTACGGAGGAGATTCCTCCTTTATTATCGAATCTACAATGTCAACAGAGATAAAGCAAGAAAGGGCTACCGCGACATGACGAATGGAAATCGTCTCTATGAAGGAGCGGGGAATCGCATTCGCATTCCTAAAGTATGAATGAGAATTCCATAGACGAGAACTCAAAGCAAGGCTCTGATGCCAATTACGTCAATGGCATCCGTCGTCAGGATTGGATTGGCGCTGAGTGAATCCTCTTGGCAGTGGAAATGAGCACTGAAGAGGCCTTTCCCCCTTCCCAAACAGAGGCATGCGATGGACACGAAGAGGATCTCAGAGTTAAGCTATTTCCTCAAGTCGTGGCTCGTGCACAGCCTGTTTGATAAAGAGGAAGGGAGGGGGAGGGGGAAGGGAGGAGAGGAACATCCCCTGCGGGGAAGAGGCCTTAATGAACCTCGAACCTCATGCCTATTCCTATTCCCTCAGGATTCGTATCCTCTTGGAGGGGCTCGGTTCCAGGCGGGCAGATAATTAAAACTATGGGGCTGCCCACCAATTATTCGATTCACTGATTGATTTATCTTGATGAGCGTTGGCGTTGCCAGCAATGCAAACTTGGGCGTTCTCCCTTAGGTGCTCATTTCTGACACCAGCAACGGTGTTAGACCGATGTAAAGTTGTTGGAATGGCGCCAAAAACTGCGAGATTATTATTTCTGCGGGAGGGAAAGGAGTGGGCAAATTCGTCTCGAGAGTCCCTCATAAGTCACCACCGTGTATTTGCTTTCTCCTTCAATATATTGTAACCCTCTTATGAGGAGCTAATAACAGAGCCTGTTCTGCTTGAAGACCTCACGCTGCTTGCGATTCACTTCTGGAATAGGGGAGACCTTCTGTGGGCGAATATGCAGCTGTGGAAACAGGTGGCATTAGCTGACTTTTCATCTTAACATGCGAGTTCGCTTTAAAATACGGTCGAAGTTGAACTGTGATCCTTCCGCCTCTCCGCCCAAATTTAGTCACAGTTGCCGCGGACTGCAACCTCACTTGCACCAGTCACATCTCGGTTGCCTTCCTTTTCAGCTGCTTTTCCGCTCACCAATAATCAGATGATCATCCGGAGATTCGTGGACACCAGCTTTGCCTAGCCACCCCGTAGACTCATCAGTTCTACCTGTGTTGGTGGCCATGAGTCGTCCTCGGGGTACTTGTTACTGCAATTGGCGGCAGGTAAAGACAGCCCCCCCCCCTCCCCTTCCCCCAATTTGAGGCAAGGCTTGAGGAAAACCGTTCCAACGAAGCTTTGAGTGAATTTGGCGGTTATTCTGACGGGCAAAACCAAATTGTGACGACAACTGAAAAGAGCAGCGATCGAGCCGCTGACGAATTTTCATTTTGATAACAGCCAGGGTATATCTGTCATCATGAGTAGATCCAGATCAAGGAAGGTGGAGGGAAAAAGAAAAGAACACGAGGGTTTACTCCTGCTCGAAGGCTTGCCCCGAGCAACCCTTCTCCATTCAGCTGAATGCAGCAGCTCTCTTCCTCTCCTTCCTCCAGAGGCATCAGACAAAGACAGGCAATCGCATTGACATCAGAGATTATCATCGGCTTTTCTTCTTCTCCCCTTCTCTCCCTCTGTGCCTCCAGGGTTCCTATTCTTTAGTACATATCGATGTAGACAGGGTAACGGGGTACGGACTTCAAACTCAAAGAGCGATCGTTCTCACATTAATATGATTTGCACGTCAAAGTTGCACTCGGGAAGCTCATATCCCTATCCTTCTCCCCTGTCCCTCCCTCTCTCTCCTGTCTCCCCTCCTCCCCTCCAAAAAAAAAAGAGCTGACTCAATAAGCCGAATTGCTTTCTCTCCCTTTCGATGCTCACTGAAAGATACAGGAGATGAGAAATATAGGCCAAGATAGACCGGTCCAATTGACAAGGAAAAGAAGGAAAGAGTCCAATCCAGTGAGACCGATTGGGCAGGCAGAGAAAGGGAGCGTAGTAATTAACTGTTGAATCGTGAAATCGGGGCAGTGATATCGATTGGGCAGTGACTGTAGATGAAGAGCCGAGGCGATTTCCCCCAAACCTTCATCAGCAACGCTCATTACCGGACTTCATTAAGCTTCCTGCCTTCGTGTTACCCGGCATTGAATTGCAAATCATTATTCGTCCACCTCAGAATCCGTCACGGTGACTTCAAAAGTAAATTTGAAGAGAAGCGACTCACGGTGGAACAAGAGGCTCCTCGTCCCCTAGAATAGGCATAAGGAATGTGGCGGAGGGGGATCGGGATTTTCCCAGACAGGAGACGAGAGAGCGGTGTGGATCGAAGCGGCTGACGTCTGTCTGAGGATCTGCTCCGCTATACCCCCTGCAGGCTTTCACAGAAAAGCACAGCACGTCTTCCCTACACGATGGATCTGGCCATTCTAACCCCTGTCTGCGCGATACGAGTGAATGGAGCGAATCAAGCAGTTAATGTTCACGAGGGAGCTGTCTCTGGTTCCATGATCATGATGCCCACTTTCATGGTTTTTCTAACGACGAGATGTATTACAGCACGGAATACATTGAATCCTGGTAGTGTTCCCTCTTAATTCCCGATTGAGGAGATGAGACAACCATCTTTCCATTCCTCTGACGGTCTCTCTCCGTGAGCCCTTTAATTACTCTGAAAATCTCCATCCTTCCCCGGTTCATTCCATGATGATGATGAAGATGAGGAGAAAGAAAGGATTTTATTTAATGTTTACCGGGGAGAGGAGAACGGGGCGATCAATCAGAGGGGCCTTCCCTGCATGCAGCCATCTTTCTCTTTTCTTCCTCTCTCTTTCTTTTTTTTTTCCTTCACCCCCCTTTACATCCCATTCCCCCCTTGCCTATATCGTCTTGCCCTTGCCCTTGCCTACGGTCCAGCCTCCAGAAAGTATCGACACTCTTTCTTCATGCTAACTGAGGTCCTCTTCTCTGACTCCTGTCAATATCTTCCTCCCTGGAGCTCCTCCATAATACACCAGAAGTGTCTCATTGCTTTTGCCTTCTGCTTCCCTTTCCCTTCGATTCCCTTCCCTCCCCTCTCTTCGAACGTCGATGCGAAAAAAATGAATGGAATCCCAAAGGAAAATATCCTCTCTAATGGCCTTGCGGTTTCGTACCACACTAAGACTGAACCTCGATGCACACTATTTCAAAAACTCGAGTGCAGAAACTGCGTGATGGCACTTGGCAACGGTGAAAGGTCACGTATGTCCTTGGCAAGGCAACAGAAACCCATCGAGAAAGTTCACTTCATCCGAGATCACATTGTCTTCGATGGAAAGGTACTGCATTGCCAGCTGATAATGCAGGCAGGCTTGGCTGAAATCTCTCTGAAAGAAGCACAAAAACGATAAACACCATCTCTTTGAATGGATAAGAGAGACTTTCAACATCGTTGAACTCTGAAGTAGCTCACTTGGTTGAAGAAACTCAAAGCCGTCCTTAGTGCATCTTGAAATGGATCCAAATAGGCGGGATCCTTCAGAGTCACATTCATTTCTCTGTTCCCCGATGGCACTTCGTCTACGTGGACGTAGATTTCCTCAGAGTTTCTAATCCCACCTGTCAGAAAGTAACGGTATCACTTCATTCCCAAGTTCATGAATGCTTCCTGGGAAAGAGAAGGCGGATGATGATGAAGCTTGCCTCTACTGGAATCACTCTGAGAATGATTCCGTTGAAGCAAGTCTTCCTCGCTATCCTTCGCTTTGTCCTCTGGGGAGATGCGCTTCATCAGCTCCAGGGCTGTCACCAGGTCCCCTTGCTTTCTGTAAGGGACAAAAGATGCCCGTGTGCATCTGCAGATCGAAGGTCAATAGATTCAGCGAAGCCTTACCGCTTCAATCGAGAAAGATTAATAAGGGCATTCGGATGATCCGGGTGATACTTGAGAGCCAGTATATAGTGAAATTCTGCTTGTGTTTCGTTCTCTAGGAGAGTGGCCAAATTATTGTGGGCACTGGCATAAGAGGGCCATAATCGAATCGCTTCTTGGTAATGAAGTAGGGCTCGGTCCATCTCCCCGAGATCCTTCTGCAGATTGGCGTAATTGTAGTGCATCTTGGCATTTTGAGGGATGCTGCGGAGCCCCGAACTGCATTCCAAAAAGGATTCAGCCTGTGATCGTGATCAAGAGGGGACAATCATGATGCAGATGCGATCATCCTGAAATCTTACAGGAAAAGAGTCTCTCGACTGCTCCAGTCTTGATTTCTGGCCAATGTCCTCCATGTGAAACAGCCGAGGAGATTGAGCAGAAACAAGGAGCGCCATGTTTTCGGACGGGTCTTCACTCTCAATTCCTCGAAACCCAATGCAACGAGAAGGCAAAACCCCAAACTGTAAGATTATTTCCAAATAGAACAATAATGCAGAGTTACTAAATAAACAAATTGATGTCATAAAACAGAAAACCCGTGACCAAAAAAGCAATACATTATTTAAAGTCCTTTCCGATTATTCCCTGTCAAAATCTGCGAAGATTTTGCTAACCTGGGGATATAGAGAACTCTTTCGGCCACGACGAAGCCGACAGGAAAGATGATGTTGGAAGCAGGTAGATAGGGGAATACCATAAGAAGCATGCTAAGTAGGACCCGCCTTGAAGTGCCCTGGCCAAAGAAACAAAATGAGGGGAATTGGATTTGCGAGACCCAGCTTGAATATGGAATAATGGGAGAATTCGCGCCTTCCCATCTTGTGATGAAGGGAAGGTAGTGGCGTGGTCAGGACGTTAGCGTATCTATTACTAAGTATGAGGGTTGCTTTTATTATCGATTCCATCCCCCCCCCCCCCCAAAAAAAAAAAAAAAATA